TATGAATCACCACATAATGACTTAATTCTCAAGATGAATAATACTTTTCAGGGTTAGCGCTCGGTCTGAACAGCGCTTAGCTCTCTGCGCCAGAGAAGATCAGCTATCTAACAAAGTCAAAAATCCAAACGATAATATAATTATTATTATTAATACGTAAGTCTCTTTCATTTGCTTTTCACTTTTTTAAAGGTTTTGATATTTTCGCAACAGACCCGGGACTAAGTGTTAATGTGCGACTATCGGCGACATTCAAAAATGCAGCATATTTTCCCCGCCAAAAGTGTCCATCTTGTCTGTCGGTCTGTCAAAATGCATCTTCGTTTCCAACTTGCAATATCATTATTTCCGCTCTCTTCACTCCAGAAGAGCGGTCTCTCTGTGTGCGGGGGATCACAGGAGGGGGGGGAGAGCTGTGGAATGTGACCAATCCCCCCCATGATCCCCCCTGGGAGACTTCCTCCACACGTTCCGATGGCCAATTCGTTTTAAACAAAGAGTTTAACGAGTTGGCGCCACCTGCACTAGCGAACCTGACGATGCCCATGACCTGCCTTTTAACTGGACACAGACAAGATGGATTGAGTGGAATGAAAGGTATCCATGGCTTATCATAAGTAAATAAAAAATAGCAGTGTTTTTATAGCAGTTGATCGCATCCGCCCTGCTGCGCCAGTCAACAGAGCGTGTGACATATTTGTAGCAGGATATGCACTGAAAAATAGGGCTCCCCCGAAATCAAATTGGTAATTTGAACACTGCTGTTAATACTGTTAATACTGCTCACAGGCTGGGCTGCTGTGTATATCTAGTGCAGGGGTCGGCAACCTTTTTGATATGAAGTGCCATTTAAAAAAATTGTTATCAGCGTGCCAACGATCGAGAATTATCAGGGGGGGGGGGGCATACTTGCCAACCTTTAGACTTAAGAAATCGGGAGCATTTCAAAATGCAAAATGGGGGGGTGCTAGTGGATCGCCGGCGCTGTTAGATTAACATTAACATGCTTATTGTAGTTGTAACTAAAGGCCCAGATACACCGGCCCGAAATCGGCAGTAAATGGGAGTCGGGCCGAACATGAGCGTGGGCACGCCCTATTTTCCCATTTACTGCCGATTTCGGGCCGGTGTATCTGGGCCTTTAGTTACAACTACAATAAGCATGTNAAACATATTTTTTGAGGAATAGCTGGAATATGAAATGATAAAAAAATGTAATTACAAAGATACTTCAAGAGAAGACCACCTCACCGGGTCAAGACAGACCCACTTATGCATCGAAGGGTTAAAGCAGCCTAACCTGCTACATTGGTACACAGTTACTCCTAAGTTATCAATTGAACTTTCACGTCACATTAATGTGTATTGAGCTGTTGGATGTAAAGTGTGTTTCCCCAACCTGTCTGGTGTGTTTTCAGGTTCTGGATGAAGAGGCAGAAGTGTTCATAGTGAAAATGTGGAGGCTGTTGATTTACGAAACGGAGGCGAAGAAGATCGGACTCGCGAAATAAAGACCGCTCGTTTCTCCGTCCGACTCCCTTTTTAAATCCCAGATCTGCTGCCCACAGACTGTAAACACATCACACCCTCCATCCCATCAGCAAGGACCAGCCTTCTGTGTGTGTGTGTGTGTGTAAGAGTATGTGTAAGAGTGTGTGTGTGTGTGTGTGTGTGTGAGTCTTTGGAAGGGAGAGTGTCAGCTGTGGACAGAAAGGGATTGCTCAAACATACTGCATGATGAAACTTTGGTTGTTTTGTTCCTTTGTTGATGCTGTTTGAGGCAGGAGACAGTTGCTACCCCCCCCTCCCCACACACACACACACACACACACTTGGTTCTGCAACACGTTGGACTCTGCTTTGATTTACTGTCGTCCTGTTGAGGCTCCGTTGTGTGAACTGATAATAAATATGCTTTTTTTTAAGAAAGTGTTGTTGGTCTTTTTCCTTTTGCTTTGCATGACAAACACATTTTAGTTTTCTCTATTACAATATAACAAAAGTCCCTCTCCAGTATCCAACTTTTATAGATAGCTATGATAAGCGATCCGTCATTTAGGGCTGGAACTATTGTTATTTTCATCATTTCATTTTGGCAATTATTTTCTTGACAGATGATTTTGTTGGGAAAATTGTGAAAAATCTCCATCCAAGTTTTTAAAAGGCTTTGTTTCAGAAATAAGATTATTCATTTGTTCCCTTTATTCAAGAATATATATATATGAATATTACCTTGGTTGGTTATACTGTTTTTCATCAATATATTACAGCTCTCAGATATATACAGAGCCTGTCTCTGATTGGCTGAAACACCAAACAGATCATTGCAGCATTACCCATAATCCCCTCTGTTTCAGCCCTGTTTCCAAAGTGCTGATTCTCTGTCTGTTACTTTAGAAGAAAATAAGG